GGATGTTAGTTGTGGTTTAATGGATCATATTGGGATTTAATGAACCGTATTGGGTTTTTATGGACCGATTGGACTTTTAATGGATCGTATTGGAATTTAATGAATCGTATTGGGCTGTCAAGTTTCTATTGGGCTTTAGTGGATGTTAGTTGGGCTTTAGTGGATGTTAGTTGGGCTTTAATGGATCGTAGTTGGTTTTAACGATTCTATTGGACTTTAATACATCATATTAGGTTTTAATGGACCATATTGAGCTTTAATGGATCGTATCCTGCTTTAATGGATTGTGTTGGCCTTTAATGAACCGTATTGGGTTTTAATGGACCGATTGGTCTTTAATGGATCGTATTGGTCTTTAATGGATCGTATTGAGCTTTAAAGGTTTTATTCGGCTTTAGTGGATGTTAGTTGGGCTTTAATTGATTGTATTAGGCTTTAATGATTCTATTGGGCTTTAGTGGATTTAATAGATCGTATTGGGCTTTAATGGACCGTATTGGGCTTTAATGAAATGTACTGGGCTTTAATGGACCGTATTGGGCTTTAATAGACCGTATTGGGCTTTAATGGACCGTATTGGGCTTTTGGACCGTATTGGGTTTTAATGGAACGTATTGGGCTTTCATGGAACGTACTGGACTTTAATGGACGGTATTGGGCTTTCATGGACCATATTGGGTTTTCATGGATCATATTGGGCTTTAATGAAACGTATTGGGGTTTAATGGACCATATTGGGTTTAATAGACCGTATTGGGTTTTAGTGGATCGATTGGGCTTTAATGGAACGTATTGGGCTTTAATGGACCGTATTGGGCTTTAATGGATCGTATTGAGTTTTAATAGATCGATTGGGTTTTAATGGACCGATTGGTCTTTAATGGATCGTGTTGGGCTTTAATGAACCATATTAGGCTTGGGCCGTATTTGGTTTTAGTGGACCGTATGAGGTTTTAATGGACCGTATTGAGATTTAATGGATCATATTGGGCTTTAATTAATCATATTGGCCTTTAACGGTTCAATAATAATAATATTTTAAAAAAATAA